AATATTCAATCCTGAATAAAAAAAAAAAAAACACATAGCAGTAATTGTGTGCGTCGCAAGGATGCCATGGCTTTCTTTACCCAACAGCTTCATTTTTGCAAACATGTAAGTGTGGACTTATGTGTAGAAATATTTGCTGCTTTGCAAAGTTGTGAATTTTTATTTCCCGCTTGAAAAGGAAACAGTTTTGTAGTTTTCCCAACCACCCCGTCGCATATTTCTCCTCTTTTACTTCACACTATAGCCAAGAGGGATGATAAAATGAAGGGAGTCAAGTTAAGGCCCACTTTTTATTCGTTACAAACGAGGCGGTAATGAATTGGATTATTCGAAAAATTGAAAATTGTGAGGAGATGTGCCGCTTGCGAGTACCTAGGGTTCACTATGCATGCACTTGTGTGTAAATCGTTACACATGTAATATATGAACATGTGTGTACACGTTACTTCTCCCCCGCAGCTTCAACACAGCGCTAATCAAGTCCAAAATTGACACGCTGGAAAACTACGCGAAGAAGAACCAAATGCACAGGCTACGGATGAACGACTTGTTCGACGTCCTCAAACTGTATGCACAATTTGACGCTCCACATGGGGAGAAGAAAAAAAAAAAAAAAAAACTAGTGGCGACATGTGGAAGGAGACACCATCCGCTGAGAGGGGAACAATGTGGCTGCAACGACAAATACCCTAACAATTATAGCAGCAAATGAAATAGAGAGAACAAAGCCTCACCTCTATAATAATCCTGTTGTAGGTCCAAAACGGAAGAAGATTACAAGCTGTCCCTGCACCTGCTCAATCTGTACTACAATTTTGGGAGGAACTTAAACACACAGCAAGATGTTAATTTATTTTTTATTTTCATCCTGAGGACGAAGCAGCTGAATGAGGCACAGGAGGTAACCAGACCGCTCCATTAGTGTGGAAGTGGAAAGGGGGGGGGGGGATAACAGGGATTAGAGTAAAATAAGGGTAGACGTACAACAAGGTGCAAGCGTCTGCACGCCTTTAAGTTATTCTTTGCCCGTATATGTGTGAAGATCCCCATTTGGTACCCGCCCATAGCTTCACAAAGGTGCGTAAACACGTGCACAAATAAGTGCACTTCTTCTAATCGCTTCACTATAACCACACACACCCATTTCTTCGAAGCTGCTTAAATATTTTAACGGATGGCTCCTGTGCCCTCCGTCGAACAAGTACATTTTGTTATGTATGGAAGAATTTTTAAAAAAAAAAAAATATTACGATGTTCGAGAAATATTTTCCTTCATACGACAGAACAGGTAATGTCCATATGGAAGTACTCAGTGGTGTGTTCGGGGGGATTTTGTGCTGTTGGAGGCCACTCCACAATACGTTGCGCACTGTATTTATTTATTATTATTTTTTTCCTGCCCTTCCTTTGTAGCCAAATAAAACTTGAAAGTTCCTTCTACACCGTGACCATAAAGGCCATGCTCATGTTGGAAAAGAATTCTCTTCAGGAGGCCATGATAGTAAGTGCGAAATGAAAAAAAAAAATGTGGCTGCAGTGATTGATGAGGGACACCTTGGCCAAAAACCATATGTTCACATAAACATACACCTGTGTACCTGTCTCTCCCTCCCCCTTCGCAGATATACGACGATTCGTATGACATGTGTATTTATTTGACGAACGAAATTCACAATTTGCTGTTAGGTTGGTTTTACACACGGAGGAGGTGGTGTTACATTTGTAGGTCATTTTTCATCTGTGTCGAACGGAAGACACATAGGGTTACTTATATATATACCTACTTATGCCTTTCCCATAACAATTTTTCGCAGAAAATAACTTGTACCTTTATCACACCGTGAAGGAGATGAAACCGGAGGTACGAAAAAAAAAAAAAAAAAAAAAAGACACAAAGCGGGGAACAGGGGGTCATTTTGTGGTTCCACTACTATGCATAATTAACTGTATTTTGTTTTTTCCTTTTTTTTTTACAAATGTAGAATGAAGAATTACTCAAGTTATACGAATGCAACGTGGAAAAAATAATTGTAATGAATTGAGCGAATGGCACACCTGAGCGAAGTTGTGGTGATGCCCCAGGATCCCATGTTGCTTTAACAAACCAATGGGCATATTTTTTAACTATACGTTGCACCCTTCCGTAGATACGACTAATAAACGAGTTAATAAAAAATAGGACCTCGATAAAATTGTCCTCAAAGACTTTGAGTCTTTTTGCCTGGACAAAAATGTACTTTGACCTTAATGCAATCATCAAGTAAGTTGCTAATGCAGAAATGGAAACGCAAAAAAGCCTTGTACACAATTTATCGCCGATTATGTGATAATATAATTTTTGTGCGAAATTTATTCTCAGGAAAACGAATCATGACTTGGTGGATGTCCAGGCGTGTAACACGTGGTTGGACATTTTAAAATTGTCCTGTTTGTATAATCAAATTCCTGAATGGTGAGTAAAGAGCATCCTTTTTTTCCGCGTGCATAAAGTGCGCAGAGTGTGGGGAGGTACAAGCTTTTTTTTTTTTTTCGTCGAAATTTTTTTTTTTTTTTTTTTTGCATGTCCACTTCCAAGCCACTGTAGTCCCTTTTCGCAAGAATTCAAAACTGTTTTGTTGAGCATGAAGGATGACGAGCATGTCGCCCAGGTAGGGAAAATGAGTGTTCGTTCAAGTGTGCCTCTACTTTGCGTAGCTCTGTACGCATATGTGAACACGCGTTTTTGTAGCTCCCCTGCGAAATGGCCAAATGGTGAACTGTGTTTCTCTCCCACCTTACAGGCGCTGGAATACATCGATATATACTTTCACGAGAAATAGGACGGGGAATTTTTTTTTTTTTTCCTTTTTTTTGCACCATGTCTGTTGTTACTTTTTTACTTTGTTAATCAAAGCGTGTATGTTCGCATAGTTCCCATTTTCCAGACGACGCGACACGGCGGAGGCGCGTCAGTTTGGGTCCTTCGCGCGTGCAGCGCTGTTGCAGTTGTTTTGTAACTGTAAGTGTTAAGAAGAAAAAAATATATATACGGGTGCAAAAGGCCGAAGCGGAAAGCTTCCACCCCCTTTTCATCCTTTTTTTTTTTTTTTTTTCACTTCATCCCACTTCAGCTTGTTTTGTTTTTTATGTTTATTTTTTTTCCCGTAACTCTGTTGGTACCAAATAAGCTTTAAAAAAAAAAAAGAAAAGAAAAGAAAACTGCACAAAAATGTAATAGCTCTGATCTGTCAAGTTCGCGACGAGGAAAAGTTGCATGCACATGAAAAGCTATTATGTGTATGCACAGCACATCCATATGCGTCGGCTCAAATTCTCCCGCGTTGCAAGAAGTTCCCCTCTACCCAGAGCAACAATACGTGTGAATTTTGTGCAACTAAAATTTCAACTTAAGCAGTTGTGTGCATAGATATGGATGCATGGGGGGATAAGCAAAATGAGACAACAAAAAAAGGGAACATAAGCAGGGGGGTGAAAAAGGAACATAAAAAGCGAGGGAAAAAAGGAGAATAAGAATGGGGCAAAAATATGAGAATAAGAATGGGGCAAAAATATGAGAATAAGAATGGGGCAAAAAAAGGAAAATAAAAAGGGGCAACAAAAAAAAAGGAAAAGGAGCACATAAGAGCGGAGAACAAATCCGCACGTTGCTGCAAAAAATGCGATGGTAGGGCAGCGCGTAAAATTTTTTCTGTGCCGACGCGGCGAAAAGGGTTTCGCTAAAAAAAAAAAAAAAAGCATAGAGCCCAAGCGTGTAAGAAAAGGGGTGGATTTATGATCACTTTTAATTTGTGTGTTTCCTTCTCATAGCAGTTGTTACGGACATATGCATGGAGATACATATTTCGTGCGGGAGTCGGAAATGTGCAATGAGGCAATATTCCGGCGAATAAAATTTGCTCCTTGTTTTATAATAATATACAAGCACCTGTATGCGCACGCCTAGGGCTAGGCGGCTTAAGGATTATAAGTAGGGGTTACGGGTTACGTTATTTTAGGGAGCAAGTGCGGCACGCGCCTGATGCGATGTTTTGTTTTTTTTCCCCGCAATCTTTTCCAAACTCTACCCTCCGTTCCTATTTACATGAGCATTAAAAAGAGTAGCAAAAAAAAAAAAAAATGTATAACCATTTTTTATGTAGCACAAATGGTTGATTTACGCACCCACCACACCATGCGGAATACCATACAAAAATTGTTTTCATTTAAAAAAAAAATTTCCCTAGTGATCATTTTCATTCCTGGTTCCCACCCATGCACTTTGAAAATTCCAATTGGAAAACATACAATGTAACACAAAAAAAAAAAAAATTTTGTTTTTCTGAGCTTATCGCATTAACAGTATTAATATTTTGTTTTAACAAAGAACTTTTATTTTTACCAAGTGATAAGGTAGAACCAAAAATTTTAGAAGGAACTTTAGCGGCAACGGAGCTTCAGTGTTCAGTTTCATATTTAACTTACGAGAAAAGAGGCATAAGCAAGATTTATATATAACCCCAGATATATATTTTTATGAACAAAATTATTTCTCGCTCGTTCGTGTTACCCCCACCCCAACGTACATCGCACGTAGAAAACAGTGTTACCAGGCCCCCCCCCAAGTTCATTTTCCCCTTGTTCCAACTCCCCTTTTGCACCCCACCCCATTTATTTGCAATGTTAGAAAGGAACTCCCGAGACTTGTTACTCCTATCACATGAACACGTTTCTTTTTCTCAAGCCAATCATACAGTAAAAGTAAATAGGTTTGAAAAAAAATAAAAAAAAAAAAAGAAGAAAAGAACAGCAAAGCAAAGGAGCAGCTTCGTGTGAATATCCGTGCATATTACGAAATCGCCTGAACGGACGTGTGGAAAAATTGTCCATCCCCCCACGCCCGACGAAGCGATAACGGAACGGCAACGGAGCGGTCACGAAGTGGTCACGAAGCGGTAAAGGAGCGACTCCCTCACCCGAACGCTCAAGATTTCCCCCCCCCCCCCCCCCTCCCCACATAAAACATGATTTTATACCCGCACAAGTATTTCCCCCACACGGTAAAATGCATGCTGGCGGCTCACATTTACAGTTTCCCCGTGGAACTGTGCGACGACTTTTTCTACACACGGAGTTTTGACATTGAGAAAAGTCTCGTAGTGAATAACAAGCCTCTGTTGGTGTACGAAAACAATTACGTGAGTTCAACCAAGGCAATATGTTTCCTGTTGCATCGGTTACGCAATGCGGAAAGTAAAAAGTGCCTTGACAATAAGCTACGGCTGTACATGTCATGGGTAGAATGGAGTGATCTGTTCGAGAAGCACATAGAAGTGCTGAACAAGAAGAAAATAATTGACAGTCTAGATGAGCTCGAGAGTTATTTAAAGGAAAATCAAAATAAAAATTTCATATGTAGCTCGGGACAAGATTCTGAAGGGGGCAATAATGACCAGATGACGTTAGCCGATATTTTTGTATACATCTCTCTAACCCATTGCAATATAGAAGTGTGCCCAGAGAGTTGGGTACACATAAGTGAATATATACAAAAGATAAATCAGGTGGAGGATGTGCAGAAGATTTTAAAAGACGTAGAACATATTTACAAATATAAAAATATTTATAATTTATTTATTTCCAAAATTCACGAGAAGAATATTAACTCTTATTTGAAAAATGAAAAATTTTACATAACTACAGCAATTAATTATGTGAATGGGGACCCACACATTGGTCATGCTTACGAAATAGTTTTGGCGGATGCCATAGCTAGGTATCATAAGAATATAGGGAGGAGGGTTTTTTTCACCACAGGTGCTGATGAGCACGGAATGAAGATTGCAAATCAGGCTTCAAGAAATAATATCACTCCACAAGAATTGTGTGATAGAAATGTACTTAAATTTAAAGAGTTAAATAAATTATTACATGTAGATGAGGACTACTATGTGCGAACAACTTGTGATAAGCATAAAAAGATTGCACAAGAAATTTGGTCCAAGTGTGAAAAGAATGAAGATATTTATTTGGGTGAATATGAAGGGTGGTATAATGTGCGTGAGGAGACATATGTCCCCGAGAACGAAGCGAAATTAATGAATTATAGGGACCCCCTGAATAATATAAAATTAGAAAAAATGAAAGAATCATCCTACTTTTTTAAAATGTCAAAATATCAGCAAAGGTTAATCGATTATATACTTGAGAATCCTCAATTTATTCAACCTGAACAAAAGAGGAACGAAATTTTACAGAGATTAAAGGAACCTTTGGCAGATCTGTCCTGTAGTAGGACGAAATTTTCCTGGGGAATTCCCGTGCCCAGTGACAACAAGCATGTTATGTATGTATGGATGGATGCTTTGATAAATTATTATTCTAATTGCTTCATTGTGGAGGGGAAGGAGAATTTTTGGCCAGCAGATGTTCACCTGATCGGAAAAGATATTGTGTGGTTTCACACAGTTATTTTTCCCACAATTCTCATGTCCGTGAATTTGGATTTACCAAAGAGTGTATTTTGCCATGGCTTTGTCTTATCAGGGGATGGAAAAAAAATGTCCAAGTCATTAGGGAATGTGATAAACCCCGTGGAAATAATTGAAGCATATGGGTCAGATGCTTTTCGCTTCCATGTCATTAAGGAAACCAAGAAAGGATTCGACATGCGCTTCGATATTGATAATTTGGTAGACATGTGTAATTCTGATTTAGCGGACACGATTGGAAATTTAGTCCAGAGGACATTATCCCTTTGTCAGCTATCAAATGAGTCTAAGATCCCTCCCCTTTTTGAAGAGTATAATATTGATTTGCCCTTCAGTTTGCTACATTTTATAAACCGAGTGGAATTTCATATGCAGACTTATTGTGTCCAAGTGTGTTGTGAGAAAACAGTACATGTGTGTAAAGATTTAAATAAGTTCCTTACCGAGTTGGCTCCATGGAAATATACAAATGAAGAGCAAAATAAAAAATTACACATCATTAGGATCATGATGGAAGCTATTTATTTAATTGCCCATTATTTGGATATTTTTATTCCCTCCATTGCTTCTCAAATTTTTCAAAAATTAAATACCCCCAAGAAAAGCATTGTTGATTTGAACCCCTGGTTGAATAATCTTCAAGAAGGGGCATACATTAATAATGATCATATTTTATTTAAAAAATTCGAAGTGGAAAGTGCCCAGATAAAAATTCAAAAGGTCATCATGCGTGTGTGTAAAATTGTGAGTATTGTCAAGGCGGAAGAAAGTCAAAAAGGGGCGACCATTTTTGAAATTGAGGTCGATGACAATGAGAAGCACCTCGCTGTCCTCTACCTGCCCACACCTCCCAACTGCATCAATATGTTCACTGCTGCGATTATGAATATAAAGCCCATCACCATTAACAACATCACCGTTAATGCTATCATCCCTCATGTGAACAAGGAAGTGTTTACATTTGAGAGGGAGACGCATATACAGACGGGCACATTAATTAAGGCCAAGAATTACAAAACGCTTGTAAAGCAGCGGGACAATTTAACCAAGAAGGAGGTCAACTCCTTGGAGCTCTCCATTATTAATGGTCATTGTTTTTTCGAGAAGACCGTGCCCTTGGTTTTCGCCTCATCTGAGGACATGCCCTTGTACCACTCGACGCAGAGCAGCGGGCCCCTCAAGTTTTTTTGACCCGCGGGCTAGCTGCGTTGTAGCGGCGTGGCTACCCACTTCAACCACCGCACCATCAAGTCGGTTTTCATAACACACGCAGAAACGAAAAAAGGGTTTGCATAGCATACGGACGGGTGCGAAAACATCTCAGCGGGATGCATCTGTGCCTTATGTGTACAATTGTTTTTTTTTTTTTTTTTTTTTTTTTTTTCCTAAGCTGGTCCTTTTGCATTTAACACCTATTAATATTTGGAAAAGTAACAAAAAAAAAAAAAAAAAAAAAAAAGTTAAAATGATATATAAACCTAAATTGTGTCTCTCCATATAAGACACCTCATTAAAAAAAAGAAAAATATTAAATTCGTAAATGAAAAAAGAGGGAAGTTTCCCATCTGGGAGCTGTCTGCAACGCAAGCACTTGACAAGGGGCCCCCTTTTGTGAAAACCCAATTGGGATCTGAGCCACATGACACGTGAATACACAACGCGCGGGGTTCACTACCCTTAACCGCTTCAAAAAAATGTATATGGAGACGGATGGGGCAGGAGGTTATATGTAACTCTGCACCCGAACCTGCTTCACAAAACTAGCTTGCGAGACAAACTTCCATGTGTAGCTGTCCAGTGGTCAACCTGCCTCTGCTTATGCACCGCCTAACTGTTCAGTACCTCCAGGAGTGCCACCGTGATGTAGGACGATTTGGGCAGGGAGCAAGTCAAAAGGATAGAGGCCGTCGTTCGATAATTGGGTACCTCCTTAATTAAATGCTCGTGGTACACGTCACTCTGGACGAAGGTGATGTGTGTTTGCATGTCGTCCTCCATGTGCGTTATAGGTGTGGGGTTGGCAGCGTCCCCTTTTGACTCATCACTCGCCGCTGCTGAATTGGTCGCGGAATTGATGGCCGAATTGGCGGCCCACCCCTCCTGCTCCAGCAGCCTGCTCAAATCACTCCTTATGAAGGGAATCCTGCCCCCACCCGCTCCGTCACTTTTAATAAAAAGGGACTTGAAATCACGAGGTTTTACAACGACCTTTCTATACCCGCCTGGCGCGCTGAAGAAGTTTTTTTCGGATCGAAAATAATCTAATGATAAGTGCAAATTGCTCAACACAGATTTGTATTCTTCCGTGAGGTTTGGAGGAAACACAAAATTCTTATCTCCAGGTAAAGGTAAAACGACATCGTACATATCGTACAGGGAAATGTTTTCATGTGTCACTGGGATTATGTTTGTTTCGTATAAAGGTTCGTCTTCTTCCGTCTCATCTGAGTAATGCTCAGTGGAACTATCACTGGTTAGAACTTCTTCACTATTACGAGTGGAATCGATAAGATCGCCTACCACAACACCAAAGCCATACTTCTTCATTCGAATATCCGCAAGGATGTTGAATATAAGACTTTGAGCAGAATGTATAAAGAGGGAAAATATATCCTTGGGTAAATTCATGAATGCATTTTTAAAATTTTTATCATTTTTTAAGGAGCACAAAATTGTTTTTTCTACATGGGAGTGGCTCGAAATGGAGTTTATTATTTCTGAAATTTCTTTTGGAAGTTGGTTTTGCTCTTCTTTTACAGTTCTGTGTGGTGTTCCGTTCATTTTTTTTTCTTTTTTTTTTTTAAAAAAGTTTTTTCCTTTTTCACAATTTGGTGTGGGCAGAGGGGCGTTCTCAACACATACGATTGGGTCTTCCTTTTGATGCGCGTCTTTTTGGTCTGCTTCCTCCTGATCATCCTTCTCGTCTTTCCTCGCATGTGATGACTCATCATTGTGTGTGGTCAGAACGACCGCATCACTTTTGTCTTCCACCCCATTTGTCGCTTCCAAGTCGTTCAAGTACTTAATGAGGCGACTCTTCTTGGAGTTGTCCAGCCCAGCATTCTCAATGACGTGGAAGAGAGCCTGCTTGTAATTCTTCTTCAGTATGCAAATTCCAATTTCGTAATTTTTTATTTTTTTACTGCCAAATCGTTGGTGGCCGAAGTAGTTTACGAATCCTGCCTTTTTAAAGTTTTCGGCGAGGGCGGAGAATTTTTCCTCCGAGGTGTCCTGCACACCCCTGATTAGGACCTTAAAGAAGTTCCCCTTCAAATCGCCCAGGGATAGTTTTTTTTTTCTGTACCTGAGGTTGGACACGTAGACATTGTTGCACCAGGAGCGGGAACCACTCCTATCGTCGCTTCTATGGTCGCTTCTATCGTGGCTTCTATCGTGGCTGTCAGAGTCGCCCCCCATTATAAGCTTAAACAAATCGAGCATCTTCGCCCTGTGGATGCAAAACCTTTGCACCGTTATACCCCTCTTATCCTTAATCCCACAGTATGATATGTCTCCGTTTTTTTTTTTTAAATTTACTTTTATTTTGTGTAGCACTTCGCATATGTCTTTGTTTTCTTTGTACAAATTGAAGTGTAGATAATTCTTTCCCTTTTTTTGTTCGCTTTTCTTCTTCCTGTGGTCGTTCAGCTTATCCAGGAAGTTTCGCCCTCCGTCATTTTCGGAGTGTTCTTCGTAGTTAAGCTGGTTGAAAGGGGTGTGACCCTTGTCACCATTTTTATTAGAACCCGAGGGGGAAGTATTTCTGTTGGTGGGCACGCCATGCTCGTCACATGTTGGGGTGGTCTCTTTTGGGGGGTCACCTCCGTGCGTTGCGTCTTTGGAATTGTCACGCACGGGTCCCTCACAAAGGTTTGGCGTAGTGGTTATGCCTTCCGCTTCGCCTTGCCCCTTTTTATTCTCCCTCGGCGTGTTCACCCCCCATGTGTAGTTGCCATGGGAAGTCTGAGACAAAGGCCCGTACTCAATTTTCCTTTTCTTATTTTCGATGAATCCCTCTGCAGCGTAAGGGATATCCGTGGCAAAATTTTCTCGGTGAAACTTCCTAACCTGTTCAGGTAATTTTGTGATTTTTTTTTTTTCTTCCATTTGGTCCAACTTTTGGCAGATAATATTTTCCAGTTGGTCGTTTTGGCTGATTCGAGATTTCTTTGCATGTCCTTTTAATTTATTAAATATATCTTGTGGCAAAATAGTTTTTAGGCAGTTAAAGGAGGGGTAAATTTGTATGGCGCTGATGTGTACATCAGTCTTTTTTGCTTTGGTGAGCTCTATAATGTTATTGTTATTGTTACTGTTGGCATTGCCTTGTAGTATATTTCCATGCGCAAGGACACCTTGGCTCTGGGGGACATTCTTCGTCTCGGTCAAGAGAAATGGGTAATATTGTTTTATAACATGGTGGATGTTTCTTCGCGCTGCTTTGTTTCCATCGGTGGGTTCTTCATCGTGAACGACATCCTGATGTTCATTTGAATGGGACTTCTCCCGAGTAGGCATCTCATCGAGGTGTATAAAGAGACAGTACGGAATGGACACTTTGTCCAAGCCTTCCCTCGTTGCCTCCTGCGGTAATTCACCCGCCTCACTCTTCACTTTTAACTGATATATATCGTGTAACAGGGTTAGAAATTGCTTGAATGTGTTCACATCATTTTTGTTTACATACTTGGCTAGCACATGTAGGTGTAAATCCGTTTTGGAGATGCTGCTGATTAATTTTTGCCTCTCGTCTTCCTCATTCTGGTGAATGATTTGATTAATTTTTTTTCCATGTATGAATTGTTCCAAGTGCAAAATGTTGTTGTTTCTGGTAATTTCATGCACATGAAAATCTTCGTAGATGGTTTTTATTTTCCCTTTGATGCCGTCCATGCTATGTATGTTTTTTCTGAATAGGTAATCGATGCCATGGTTTTTGGCGAAGGGAAAATTCTCTCCAGTTTTCTCGTTCATAAGGGTAGTAAGTAGGAGAGCGGTGGGGATAAACGGGACCACAGTTGTTACGTATGTACACACGTATGTATTATATGAATTGTGAGGCACAGGTAGGAGTCTTATCGAAAGTGACCAACACCATCTGCTAGCCAAACGACAGCATGCACTATTTTTTGCACTAGAAAAAATGTAACATTTCACACTAGGGATGGGGTGGGGGAATTTAAAAAAAAAAAAGGGGAAAAAAACATTCTTTGGGTTTACTCAGTGGGTGGAGAACAAAGCGCAAGAAGTGTAAAAGCGTCAGAAGTATGAAGAAGGAATAGGGTGGGAGTTCGAGGGGTTGGGGGGTACGTATAAGTTCCTTCATAAGCGAAGCGGCAATTTTTAGTGGGTGCCAAATGTACTAGTCACTGAACAGGAGAAAAAAAAATATACACACATGTAAGTACCTATATATATATGTATGTACCACTCGCTTAGCATGCGTACCCTCCTCCGTTTGCCCTGTTTTTTTTTTTATATGGCCAATGGAGAAAAGCACCACAACCCGTTGCTGTTGTTTTGCGCGGTTGCCCTCTCTAACCTTGCACTGAGGAAGTCAAAAGGGTGAAAAAAAAGGAGAAACAGAGCTACACGTAGGTACATAAACGCATGTGCGTTTTTTCACTTCACAAGTAGAACAGTCTCCATATGCGTAGATTGTCAACAGGGGGCCTCTTCCTAATTGGCGTGAACAACGGATTCACCAATTGGAGGTTGGAGGGGGCTAATATAATTCGAATGAGAAAGATACGTTGAAAGGGGGATCTGAAATGGGAAAGAACAATTCAGCAGCATTTTGAATGGCTACCTTTGGTGTGAAGAGTAGTATGGAAGAGAAGAACGCCTGTCCGTGGTACTCTACGCATATGTTGATGTTACCTATGTGTGCACATTTTTGTATTTTTTTTTTTTTCCCAGGTGGGGGCACCCCTTGGGGGGTTCCTAAACGTTTGCACAGTTAGGGCCAAATGGTTGGTTGCGTCTTTTTTTCCTTTTCTGCCATCCCGCTTGGAAGTAGCCCACTGGGTGTGTTTATGTATTTTTTTTTTTTTTTGTTCGACTCAGCGGAGTGATAAAGGCTCACTTGGTACAAATTGGGGAGAGGGAAAAAAAGGAAGCGGCTTACATACATTTTGCGAGAAAAAAAAAAACATTGAAAAAATTTCCATTGGTAGATACATTGGTTGTGGTTCTAACTGGGGTATTGTTGGAGAGACGTTTTTTACAAAGTACCACATCATCTGTTGAAGTTTATTTCGGTCCATACATAACACATATAAACAGGATGGGGGTGAAAGGCTGTTTACGGCGGTCAGCCAGCAGCAGCTTTTTAGGGCCACCATACGAATTATCTTTATTTGGCATGTTTGATAAAATGGAAAGACGCGGTTTGCTAGTGAACGTCCAACCTGTTCGGATATTGTCTTCTATATTGCAGCTGTTATTTCTACTTCATTCTTTTCTTATCCTTTGGCTTTTGTGTGGAGACATGTGTCCTCTTACTTGTGGTAGGTAGCATTCCAGACTGAATGTTGTACTCCACTTGGGGGGGAAAGGAAAAATGCTCTTAGCCAATGCAACCGTGTAACTTGTTTTTTTTTTTTTATCCCCGCATCCATGTGGATGGGTAGAAGGAAGGCATGCGTACTGAAATTTATGATCAAATGTTGGTGCGTCCACTTTGTGGTCTCACTTGAAATTGTGAAACAGGATGGAATCATTTTTTTTTTTTTTTTTGCCACATAGTGATCTACTTCCAATGCAGAGAAATATTCGACTCTACACTTTTTGTCAATTTGGAAAAGTGTAAAAAAAAAATAAAAAAAAGGGACACATGTTAACACAGTGCATTGGAACAGCATTTAATGTATCTTTTTGTTATTTTTTCGTTTTCCTTTTGTTCTTCCCCGACAATCTAGGCGAGTATGACTGCTTAGCAAATGTGTTGTCACGTAGTTAAGATGGAACAAATTTGAAAAAGGCTTTTTTTTTTTTGAACCGACATGTGGAGTTCATTTTCGTGCATGCAGAGGGGTTAAAGCATTTTTTGTTTTATCCTTACCGTTTTTAAGAAAAAAGAGCGATATGTGTGGAGTGTAGCAGGCCAAGACTACATGTGTGGAAAGAAAAAAACACTTAACAATGTTGAAGAAGCGGGTGGCACAATTTGGTGGCGCTCACCCATGAATAGGTTGTTCTTCACCTTATTGCAGTTGTCAAAGTGGAATTTTTTTTTTTTTTTTTTTTTTTTTTCTCCAACGCACCGCTTATGAAAATGAAAAGCATAAACCACATTTCTTTTTTCTTCATCATCTTGCTGATACTTACACGTGAGAACAAACTGGCAAGCGGAAAATTTACGAGTCACACACTTGGGAATTTAACAACTGGTTTAGTAGATAATGACAAGGCAAGGCGTGAGAAGGATATGAAAGAATGTGAAAGAGGCAATGGTGGTGTAGAGGTAGAGGGGGACAGTCCCAGAAAGGGTGAGTTGGACACCCATGTGGGGAGGGACGAAACGGAGGAAGGTACCTTGGATGAGCGCGGTGATACGGTCCTTGTGCAAATTGAGGAGCATGAAGAAAGTGTTAACTCTGTGAGTGAGTCAGCCTCGGGGGGTGATGGTGAATTGGGCGACGATGAAGTGGAGGACCATGAAGTGGAGGACGATGAAGCGGACGATGATGAAGCGGACGAAGATGAGGACGAAGACGACGATGATGAGGACGATGATGAAGTGGACGATGATGAAGCGGACGACGATGAAGCGGACGACGATGAAGTGGACGACGATGAAGCGGACGACGATGAGGAGGTAGACCACGAGCAGATTGATTTCGAACAGGTGGAGGATGCAGCGAGAGAAGAGCTGAATTGGGACGAAACAAACGAGTCAGAACAAACCGAGGCAGAAAGCACGGAGTGTGCAAGACCTTATCATCATAAAAAATATGAGACAAATGATGAGGCACAGAGAAACATCGACACGGATGAAGTAAAAATGGAGATACGTAAGTGGAGCGGCGGACATCCATGGGGACAAAACAATATCATGCTTATGAATACAAATCATATGGAAGAGGCAAACGAGGAAGGGCAACAAGTGGGAAGTGTGTACGAACAGGAAGATGGGGCAGAAGGAAAAAGCTCAGTTTCAACAAGTGATACCAAGGCCAATGATCTGCTCATGGGAGATTATAAACAGGCGAATGAAATTAAGAAGGCAGCCAGTGCTTTAGTCGACACGATGATTAACATGCTGGAAGAACACGGAGAGCATGATGAGGTAAGAACGTTGGCCCAATACTTTATTAAAATTTTCACCACTGATTTAAACACACATAAAAAGGAACCCTGGTGTAACAGATGACACTTCATAACCTTGTATGCACGTAGTGCCAGTGCGGCTGTGAAATATGCCCACATGTGTAATTAACGGGATATAATTATTTTTTACACAATGGACATTTGAAAGTACGACAAAGAGGGGACGGACAAAATGACAAACCCTGCTACATGATCTTTAAAAGGAACTCCTTCCAGTTTGTATTTCATGTAGGTGAATTATGTAAGGTGTGATTGTGGAGTGGAGCAATACACATGTCGCATTGTTTAGGTGTTTTGTATACTTGTTTATCCTGTCATGAAAAATTTTTACCCTTTTTTGTATTGCACAGGCAGTTGTGTACCCATTTGGGGGTGAGTGGCAGAATCGATTGAGCATCCCCCCCCAGGAGAGCGGGGACTTGAGTTATTCCTCTTAGCAAATTGATGAAAATGGTTAAGAAGTGTACTTCGAATATTTGTTCCCTTTTGCATTGTGGAGTTGATATGGTCATTAAAAAAAAAAGGGGGGAGCATTCCGTGTGCGCAAAACAGTGCACAAAGGGGAGGGGAACGTTCGCGCAGATGCCAGAGGTCTTTTCTTCCGCCTTGTTAGTAAATAGGGCACAATTTGCTCGTTTTGTAAAAAAGCAAGAAAAAAATGGTGCACAAGAAATGGCAATTAATGCTGCACACAAGATTTCCTATATAAATACCGAAATGCGTTCACTTGGCAAAAATTAAAATGTGGGAGCCGAGGGGATGTGAGCGTGGCTGTTTTAAGAAGTGTAATTAATTTATAGTTTTGCCCAATGGGGAGGGAGGGGGTTTTCCCTCCAACAGAAGGAAAAAAAAAAAAAAAAAAAAAAAAAAGTAAAAGGACAACTTTCCATTCTGGGTAAACGTAATTAAATTTTCTAATTTGTAAAAGTATTTCCTTTTAATGATTTAAAAGTTCTGTAGGAAAAAATCAGGAGGCGTTGAATCAACAGCAGCATACATGTTGGACAATCAGAAAACGATTAAAAATTGCACATGTGGAAAGGCAGAAAGTTTATATGGAAGAAAGCGAACAAAGGCAAAATCGTCTGCCCCCGCCAGTTAATTTCTCTGAGGAGAGGCCTCTGTCGTGTTCCTTTGTTTTTTTTCTGATGTTTTTCTTTCTGTGAAATATGTTTCATTTTAACTGTTGAAATATATTTCCATATTTTTTTTTTTTTTTTTCCGTATGCGGTTAATTTTCTGAGCTGCCCAATTGTGGGGTGCAGTATGGGCAGTGACACGTCGCTAGTTTTGCAAAATTGCCGGGGTAATCGTTCACCTCTGTGAGCGCGCCGTTTATGCATGTGTGTGTATTCCTTCCAGGGCGGTAAAACTAACGTGCGCCGACGGAGCAGCATTTTATAATAAATATGATAACCTGTTTAAAATAACTTTTCACCTCCGCAACATATTCCAAAATTAAATGAAAAGCTCTGCTGACGGCAAAAAATATTCATCGCGCCATTTTGTTAGTTTTATCAATTATTTATTTTTTTGTTTTTTATTTTATTTTATTATTTTTTTTAAAAATATTTTTGTGAATACCAAAAGCAAATCTAAAAGCGAATAGCTAAAAGCAAATAGCCAAAAGCGAAATCGCCAATCGATTATTCCATACAATACCATTTTCGAATATTTCCAAAACTACACTCGAAAAAGAAAAGTTTAATATAAATTTTTTTTCCACGTGATTTCTTTGCAAAAAATTCCCCAAATCAGAGTTCCCCTTGACGAAATCCAAGATGAGAAACGCCGTATGCCTAATTTTTTGTTTATTTTTTCTAAACCAGTTTGAAGGCGCGCAAAAGGAAGGAAGCGTCGGCTTCTCCAAGGTGGGCGTCACAAATTCGCAGAAGACCAATTTGAGGGTGCCCGTGCCGCCCAGCAGCAAGGTGACCAGTGAGAATGCTGACCCACAAAGTTGCACCGACTGTAGTGCGCCTTGCGTATCTGAATGCACAAAGGGTGATGGCAAATGCCCAGTAGGTGAAACCAAGTGCACAAAGGGTGACGGCAAATGCCCAGTAGGTGAAACCAAATGCACAAAGGGTGATGGCAAATGCCCAGTAGGTGAAACCAAATGCACAAAGGGTGATGGCAAATGCCCAGTAGGTGAAACCAAATGCACAAAGGGTGA